GAATAAAGCATGACAATGTTAAAGGATCAACGTGGAATGTTCTTTTCAAAAGGGAAGAACTACGTCTGAGAAGTAGGGATTCCAAATCCACCGTGTGGACACAAGGTTGGCTCCATCATGTCTGGCTGTACATGAAAAGGGCTGCCCCAGACTGTGCGTAGAACATCCACGTTTTACTACAATGAAACAAATTCATTAATGACTTAAGGCAGGTCCACCACAAGGTCCACCACAAGGTTCACCAAAAGGAAGCACATGACTAATTACACACTTCATGGAAGGCCTGTAGCACGTACAACTGACATGTTAACGAAAATCTGGACACTTTATTATCAAAAGCTATAATTATATAAACTGATGAACGAACAGGTAAAGGGAAGGGACAGATGTTTTTCACCTCAATGGCAAGAAATAAAGGCCAAGAAATATAGAGTTACAAAGACACTTTTGTTATATTAACGACAAATTAACACACAATGCTATTCATTAAATAAACAGAGCTGCCCAAAATGTGTGTAGAGGGAGCTCAGAACTAATCCAGTCTTGGTGGTTATTACAATCAGTCCTCTCCCCTCAAAGTGGTTTATTTGCTAAACATCGAATAACATTAAATCGAAAACTGATTTGCACAATCGAGGCTAAAAAAGTCTAGCGGCTTTTTTTTTACTGTTTTTATTTTTCACATTTATATTTTTTTACCAAAATTTTGGAATTGAGTTTTCAATTCTCTCATATTCATGTTTAGTGAATAAATGACTCATTGTTTAATCTAGAGTTGTGGAGAAATAGCTCTGCCCTCTTCTAATTTAGCCAGCTCATCCCTGGTTCATGATGTCAGGACTTGTGAATTCAGTTTTGCGATTAGTAGAGCTGGTCTGAACCAGATACAAATGATCTCAATCCAGTATTACATTGACACAGAATGGAGACTATAATTGCTTGGGTCGCTAGAAGTTAGTAATCTTAGAAATTACAGGATTTTTCATCTAAGGGGTTTGTTGATTGAACACTAGATTGTGGTGAATTTCAAACTTTCAGCTAAAATTGCAAACAGGAAAAAATGTGCACAAAGGAATGATAATATTGGCATAAACAGAATACGAAGCAAAATGTCGGCCTCTTTTTTTCATAAATCACCCCCATTATATTAAATATTTAATGACAAACAGTCCACCTAATCGCGATGTCTAACAAATGCATGGGGTTAAACTGTGAATTGTGAAGGGTTCAAAAGGAAATGGCAAATTTGAAAAATTTTACAAGACTGGTGTTTTTTCAGCTTGACTTATTTTACCTAAAATCTGTTCATTCTCCACAATTATTGCTATTATTGAACCCTGAATGGTAAAAAAATAAATAAAGTATATCTAAACTATTTTATCTACTAATCAGTGAATTGCAGTGAGTTGAAAAACTTACAATATTTAGTTTAAAATAAATCATTTGGAAAAAAAAACAATTCCACTCATCTATAAAATCAGCATGACTACTTTAGCCTTAAATTTGCAAATCTGTTTTCAATTCACTAAAATTGTCTATTTAGTGAATAGATCCCTGTGCCAGAAAGATACAATTCAGGACTGGTTCCGGAATGTTGTGACACTTGGCACAGATGTGCTGAATGCTAACACAATGATTATGAAGGGTATATGCTCAGGGATTTGCCTTTTACTCATTGACAAGTTGCTAAACTCTGGGAGGGCTATACAGGCTCCGAGTCCCAGAAAGGTCCCTCATTCTGCAGCTGTTTCGATTTAAAACTGAATACTTTCCAAAAACAAAGGTAATAAAAACAAATTTCGACTTAACCCCTCGGCTGCCGGATTGATTACAGAGAACAATACAGAATTCACAGGACTTGTAGAACATGCAGATCTGCCCAAAGAATATGTTCATCTCTTACACTGCTTCAGCGCTAGTCAAAGTGAGACTTTTACACCAAAATAACAGAACTGACTGTTTCTCTATTGGCCTATTATAATTATATTATATTACACCTCATTTCATAATATGATAGGCTCTTTATATCACGTAAACTGAATTCATAAATAAAAAATAAACGCACCAAAACCGACTGATTTGGGTCGTTTCTCGTGTTCGGCTGTTTTGGCTTAAAATATAAAATCTGCTTTGGATTCCTGAAGATTCACTTGTTCTTGAATAACCCAGTAAGTGTTTGATTTGCTATGTTTACTGTCAGGTTCTCTTGCGAAGTTAACACACTTTTCTGTCACACAACGAATTAAGGTCACTTCCCATCGCAGTCATCCACCATACGTACGTCTGAGGATGAACTGATGTCATACAGGGCTTTTCACTAAAGAGAGAATTTAAAGTGAATTTTACATTTAAAGTCAATATAAGTCAAACAGGAAAAAGTAAACTGTGCTTTCAGTTCCGATGTTTTGACCCTAAATTTAAATTTCACTTTAAATTCTCACTTTAGTAAACAATCGATATAGATGTCTCTGATAGAAGTTATCTATCCAGACTGGGTCTACCAAAAACATTTTCATCCACAAAGTTTATTTCTTGGGGCCTGTTTAAGAGTCGGGTGGTTCCTGGAAAAATCAGTTTAACTTCCTCCTTTAAATTCCTTTTACTTTTACTTGAGAGTGAGGAGCAGATGTTTCTTGTTTGGCCATGCTCCTGGAGATTCTTTGAATCTGGCCATGGTCCTAGAGATTCTATGAATCTGGCCGTGGTCCTGGAGATTCTTTGAATCTGGCCATGATCTTCGATATCTAATGAATTTGTCCATGCTGCCGGAGAACCTGTGAATATGACCATGCAATACAGAACCCGTGAAGCTAGCCAAGCTCCTGGAAATCCCATGCATATGACCATGTTTTCTGAAGACCAATGAATTTGTCCATGCTCTTACAGATCCTTTGACTCTGGACATGCTCCTGTAGATTAAGTGAATCTGGTCATGTTCCTGGACATCCAGTAAAATTGTCCCTACTCCTATAGAGCCTGTGGCCATGTTCCTGGAGACTGGTGGAATTTGTCTTTCCTCCAAAGACCCAGGAGACATTGTGGTTCCAGTCATGTTTCAGGAGATACTGTGTTTCTGGTCATGCTGCAGGAGACATTGAGACATTGTGGTTCCAATCATTGGTCAGGGGACATTGTAGTTCCAATAATTGTTCAGGAGACATTGAGATCCCGGTCATTATCCAGGAGACCTTGTGGTTCCGGTAATGCTCCAGGGGACACTGTGGATCCAGGAGACATTGTGGTTCTAAGAAATCGTTCAGGAGACATTGTGGTTCCAGTCATTGATCAGGAGACATTGTGGATCTGGTTACGCTCCAGGAGACATTGTGGTTCTGATCATTGGTCAGGAGACATTGTGGTTCCGAAAATGCTCCAGGAGACACTGTGGATCTGGTTACGCTCCAGGAGACATTGAGACATTGTGGTTCCGATCATTGGTCAGCAGACATTGGGGTTCCAGTAATTGTTTAGGGGACATTGTGGTTCTGATAATTGGACAGAAGACATTGTGATGCTGGTCATTGGTCAGGAGGCATTGTGGATCTCATCATCGTCTCAGGTTACAGTCTGTCCCAGGTTATGGTCTGTTTTTATAGTCCACGTGTACCAGCAGCAGTCACTATGTTAGTCATTTTCTTTTACAGGTGCTTTCCTTGGTCTAGGACAGGGGTAGGCAACCTTTGGCACGTGTGCCCTGCACGGCACTCGATGTGTCTTTGCACGGCACACAAGGCTGCTAGATCCAAACAAGCTCTGGCCTATCAGGAGTCCCAGTGAAACTTCAGATATACGAAAAAGTGGTTAAGGACAATCCTCAATTTATGCAATGCAGCACTTGTGAATGGGAATCCACACTGGAGTAGAGGAGTCTGCAGCTGCTGTTGCAGCTCCTGTCCTTGACCTGAACCAGGCCAACTTGGTCGCCACTGGAACCCAGGGATGCCATCCACACTTCTAGATATACACAGAAATGCAGAATAACCCTTCCCACCATACAAATAATACGAACAGCTCACACACAAACATACACACAATCCACACAAATGCAACACCACTAACAATCCACAAACATGAACACAATCATTAAAAACCCACTTCTTCATAAAAGCGTATCAATTAAACTGTTAATAACTTAATAGCTCCCAGCTGAGTCCTCTCTTACAACTGTCATTAGTCTAATACTACCCTTACCTTTTGTGACACTATACCCCACTCCCTCTAACATGTAAACTCACTGAGCAGGCCCTCAATCCCTCTGTTACTGTGTCACTATACCCCACTCCCTCTAACATGTAAACTCACTGAGCAGGCCCTCAATCCCTCTGTTACTGTCACTATACCCCACTCCCTCTAACATGTAAACTCACTGAGCAGGGCCCTCAATCCCTCTGTTACTGTGTCACTATACCCCACTCCCTCTAACATGTAACCTCACTGAGCAGGCCCTCAATCCCTCTGTTACTGTGTCACTATACCCCCCTCCCTCTAACATGTAAACTCCTGAGCAGGGCCCTCAATCCCTCTGTTACTGTGTCACTATACCCCACTCCCTCTAACATGTAAACTCACTGAGCAGGCCCTCAATCCCTCTGTTACTGTGTCACTATACCCCACTCCCTCTAACATGTAAACTCACTGAGCAGGGCCCTCAATCCCTCTGTTACTGTGTCACTATACCCCACTCCCTCTAACATGTAAACTCACTGAGCAGGCCCTCAATCCCTCTGTTACTGTGTCACTATACCCCACTCCCTCTAACATGTAACCTCACTGAGCAGGCCCTCAATCCCTCTGTTACTGTGTCACTATACCCCACTCCCTCTAACATGTAAACTCACTGAGCAGGCCCTCAATCCCTCTGTTACTGTGTCACTATACCCCACTCCCTCTAACATGTAAACTCACTGAGCAGGCCCCCAATCCCTCTGTTACTGTGTCACTATACCCCACTCCCTCTAACATGTAAACTCACTGAGCAGGGCCTCAACCCCTCTGTTACTGTGTCACTATACCCCACTCCCTCTAACATGTAAACTCACTGAGCAGGCCCTCAATCCCTCTGTTACTGTGTCACTATACCCCACTCCCTCTAGCATGTAAACTCACTGAGCAGGCCCTCAATCCCTCTGTTGCTGTGTCACTATACCCCGCTCCCTCTAACATGTAAACTCACTGAGCAGGCCCTCAATCCCTCTGTTACTGTGTCACTATACCCCACTCCCTCTAACATGTAAACTTACTGAGCAGGGCCCTCAACCCCTCTGTTCCTGTGTGTCCAACTTGTCTGGTTATAACTACATGTCTGTTCGTCCACCCATTGTAAAGCGCTGCGGAATTTGATGGCGCTATATAAATAATAACCTAATAATAATAATAACAACCCTACATGCAGCCTCTCACATGCAATAGCCCAAACACATACACACACTACCAAACACAAAATGTGACATTTCCATTCACACACACAATTCCACAAGCAGCCCCCATGCACAGCCCACATTCATAGGTATCATACAAGATACCACAAACTACTCATGAACATATACAATATAACAGCTCATATACGCACAAATATAATGGTACAAATCAACAGCAGTATAAATAACACAAGCAGAATGTGGCAAAATACACACCTCAATTTAAAAAAATAGGACCGACATACTATGTGGCTTCACAATCTTATTTCGGCACAGTGCTGCTAAATTCCCAACAATTCTCACGTTAGTGAATGACCCTAAAAGCATTAAAAGCGATATTTGAGAGAACGTCCTTGTGATAGCAGTGATTCAGAGTTCCTGTACCTCCTCCTCTCGCGCGTTACATTGGGTTTCGTTATCGCTGTCATTAAGGATTATTCAGGTCATACTGCGCAGTGACACCGAGCTTCATTGATAAAACTAGGAAAGTACGAGATAAGCAAAACTGCAAAAATGTATAAAGTACAGATAACCGAGTTCTGTGAATTTTGTGTTTGTTACACTCTCGTGTTTGTTTACTGACTCTCTGCTCCCAATCAGCGGGCAAAGGTGATATGAAGTGGTTATGGTGCCTAGAGTGGTAACTTTAAAAGGACTCCATCAATATTTTATTACTCTAATATCACACAGTTATTGACCAAAGCGTTAATTGTTGGGAATACGAAAATAGGTAAAATGGGAACGTAGTTAACTTGCAAGAATATTCACTAAAATAAACAAAAATATTTAAGTAATTTAAATCAGAATTGCAAACTTTAGATAGAAATAGCTGCTCTGGAAAAAACTCTCCAACTTATAACCACAATTTGGCTATTTTTTACCTAAATTTAGCATTTTAAAATTAGGCGTTTATTTAATAATTTTGGAAAAACTTTTCAAACGATTTTTCAAAATATTAAATTTTTTAAAAAATCATTATAAAAAATATAAAAATATCTTAAAATATTATCATAGGATTTTATTTCATAATATTACATGATTTTAAAACTTTAATCCAAAAATGTAAAATCAGTTAAAAATGTATTTAAAAATATTAAATTGAGGTGTCAATTTGCTAAAAATTTTCTTCCATTGAATTTAATTGAAATTCCATTTGAATTCCCAACAAAAAATAACAAACAGGTTTATTCACGAATCTCTATATTGAAGTAAATAAACACCCAAATGGAAAAATGTAAGTTATAATAGTTAAGCTTTGACTTTGCCTGAGATTTAGCTAGATTTAGAAATATCCCAAATTAGCTATTTTGGCCTGAATTTTGCCTTTTTACCATTTGTCTTAACATTTAGACAGTGGTTTATAGTCTGCTGTTAAAGTATCCAGTTTTGTGAATTTGGGGGTTTGACTTATGCAACCATGATTTGTTTGCATTTAATTTGTATATTTTCTAGAATTAAATACATGTTAGCCAGAGCCAGATTAAGGTTGCCTAGGCAGGGTGCCAGATTAGGGACCTCTTCTAGAGCCCTGGGCTCTGTTTCTGGGAGTGGTGTGAGTAGGCTGAGTGTTGTGTGTAAGGGTGTGCGTATTTTCTGAGTGTTGTGTGTATGTGCTGGTTAAATGTATGTGTGGAGGTTGAATTTTGCATGTGTGTAGTGGAGTCTGAGTGTGGCTAAGTGTTGTGTGTGTATGCTCCCCTTCCGGTTGGTCGTTCAGTGGAGTGTGAGCAGGATATATGGTGGTCCATTGATAGGTAAACTGGGTGTGAGCAGGATACCTGGTGGTCCATTGATAGGTAAGCTGGGTATGAGCAGGATATCTGGTGGTCCAGTGGTAGGTGAGCTGGGTCTGAGCAGGATACCTGGTGGCCCAGTGGTAGGTGAGTTAGGTGTGAGCAGGATACCTGGTGGCCCAGTGGTAGGTGAGTTAGTTGTGAGCAGGATACCTGGTGGTCCAGTGGTAGGTGAGCTAGGTGTGAGCAGGATACCTGGTGGTCCAGTGGTAGGTGAGCTAGGTGTGAGCAGGATATCTGGTGGTCCAGTGGTAGGTGAGCTGGGTCTGAGCAGGATACCTGGTGGCCCATTGGTAGGTGAGCTAGTACCTGGGTGTCTGGAAGGGGAGCTCCATCGCCTGTACCAATATGAGATACAGACTGCTTTAACAGGATCCTTGCGGGTCCGGTCTTCAATCAATGTCTCATAGCTCCGGCTGTGGCGCTCTGAGTCATAAAAAACCGCTGGGGACCGTGAGGGCACTCTAAAAGTGCTCTGGATCTGACACTGGTAAAGACCACAACGCTGTGAGGAGTAAGGAGACACAGGGCCGTGAAGATAGATCTTTTGATCTAGGAGGTCCACACAGAGCCGAAGCTCCAGGTCCAACGTGGTGGCCTTGGTCACCTAATGGTCTGATACAGGCTGAGCAATAAGGAACATTATTAACATGTAATTTGTGACCAAGATGGCAGGTAAAATATCCAAAACTCTGGACTTTTTAAAAGTTTAGCCTTGGCAGGGTTATAGATTAAACACAAAATTATCAGGAATCTGCCAGGAACTGCAAATTTAAAGAAAGAATAGCCAATCTGGAAGCATTGCTGATCTTTGAGAAATATTTATATTTGGGCTATACTGGCCTAAAATTCCATAATTAGTAAATTAAACATAGCTGTAATTCTAATAATTCCAAAATATGGGTTTTATTCAATCAATCAGAAATTAGATAATATTTGAGGCCAAGAAAAGCCAAGAGCGTAAGAATACCAGGTTTAAATATTTTGGCCTAAAATGTTCAATTTCACCGTCCCCAGTGCCCAGTTTAGTGGATAAACTCTTTTCTATGTGTATTTCTTTGGAAGAACATCTGTGTTTTCATTTTCCCAAAAGGATAGCTTGATAGCTGCCCACAATGACTCCTTTTGTGAGAGCCTCTTCTACTCCATTTTGGGTCAGTTACCTCGAAGCATTTACTTCTTCAGACAAGATGGATGGCTCTGTCGAGTTGCTAATTGGGCTCCGATTCACTGCAGAGAATCTCTGAAATCCGGACCCTTACAAAATGAAGGACATTGAATCAACATGCACTCGCTGTTTCTAGGGTAACCAGTCAAAGTTACTGGTTTTCCTTGATAAGTTCCCTTTAGCTGAATCCCAGCCACTTTTTATTTATTCTATCTCTTAATTATCTCAAGGAATCCTATGATCTGGGGTTCCCTTACAGCTGTGGAAACTGTATATTTAGATATACTGGATGGGTAATTAACCACAAATTCACCAATTTCACATTTTTTCCTTCTGGCTTTTCTCAAAATGAGAAGGTGCACGGTTTGCAGTAATTACGGTATGGGGTCTGCGGTGCGTTCCCTCCCCATCTGGCTGCAATTTATATGTCTGTTCAGTCAGATATAATTGGGATTTAAATTAAAAAGGTCTGTGAAGTAGAACTGTACGGAACGGCCTGAAACTAGGCCAGTACTATTGTGAAGCTTGCTACGTGGGACACAAATCTCGTCCAGCCGGGCGTCCAGTGCTGCATGAATAGAGCTTTTTATCAGCTGGGCCCACGGCAGTATTTGTAGAGGTGGGCTTTGGCCTGGAGCCACGAAGATAGGGTCTTCACAATGAGGCAGTCTCAGTGTAAAGGAACATGTGACCTGCACTTGGTACTGTGCAGTCTGTAGCCTCTCTGAGCAATCTATTCAGGGTTAAGAGGCCATGGTTATTGTCCTACTAGACTCATTGTTCTAGATTGTCTACAGAGGAAATACACTGTGTCAGAATCATTCATATCAGGGGGAGGAGCTAGTTTAAATCCACTTATTGGGAGGTCATATCTTCTCTACAGCATTCTGGGGGAAGAGTTATTTCTACTGCACACATCCAGTGGGGGGAGCTACTTTAACTGTACTTACTCCAATTGGAGGGACTAATTAAACTAATTCCAATTAGTGAAGCTATCTTAAAGGTACACTGTCACATTGTAGATTTTTTTTTATTTTTTTTTAAATTATTTTAAAGGAACACTATAGTGTTAGGTACAGAAAGCTGTATTCCTAACACTACGGTATCCCTCTGCCCCCAATGAACGGCGCTTGCTCATTAAGCCTTCCCATAGAATAGCATAGAATGGGATGGGAGAGAATAACACACTGGATGTCCTCATGTAGTTAAACTCCGTGAAGAACCAGCAAGTGCCTCTAGCGGCTGTTTGGTAGGCAGCCACTAGAGGCAGTCTTAACCGTTTAATGTAAACATTGCCATTTCTCTGAAACTGCATTGTTTTACATTGCAGAGTTAAAGGGACAGGGGCACTTCATCAATGAGATGAAGTGGTCTGGGTCCATATAGAGTCCCCTTAATTAATTTTTTTTGTTTTAATACATAAGATAAAAGAGGGAATACTTTTCCTTGTGGGGTGTGTGGTCTTTGACAATATTTAACAATGGGTGGAGCGTAACCAAACTTACATTTCTGTTGCTAGGATGCTTTACCCACAAGTTATCAGTCAAAATAAACTCAAAGAAGGGCAGTCTGAAGACATCATGGGCAGAGGGGAACAAAATATGCCAGAAAAGAAAGAAAATATAATAAAAATAAATCAGGGCAAGGAGGGAGTATTGACATTAAGATACAAAGGATATAAGGAAAGTAAAACTGGAAGGTGATAATAATATGACTTTGCGGCTTTAACCCCACGTATTCCAGAGGAGGCATCGTTCTCCTCATTCAGAGTTTTCAAGCCACGTCAAAGTATGCAATGAACGCATTGACTTCAGGGCTGTAATGGGCCACGGCCGCTCCTTAAAATGAGTTTTTAACGTGTCTGCGT